CTATCTGCTCTCTTTGTTTTCTGTGCCCTAGCTAAACTCCAGTGCCTTAAAATTTTGTATCTAATTCATGACCCACTGACTTCTGAGTAGTAGCTACAGAAAGTCCGTGCACAAAGGTGTAGAGAATGTCTCTTATGTGTTCAGTAGCCTATACAGTGTAGGGGTGAAAAGAGCCATAAATAAGAATTGGTCTTTATCCTTAGTTTTCAACATGGTTATATGTTGGAATTCATTGCACTGATACTGACAATTCTGCTTTTTCTTCATGACTATTTTAGCCATGAAAGCATGCTGTTGTGGAAGGAGACCAATGGATAAAGATCACAATAAACTATTTTATTTATGTCCCTATTTGTAGGATCAGAAGAGGTTTTGTCCTGGAGACAATATGCATAACTTCTAGGTAAATAATATCTTTTCCTTGTATAGTTTTACGCTTCACTAGTTACTCACCTGCTACTTAGCTGTAGAACACTCTTTGTTCGAAAAGAATCAGAGAAAGCTGTGGACTGTTGTGTGAATTGCAGTGACTGGACACAGAAAAGAGTCTGCAGCTGCAAGAGTCTTATTTGTTTATGTGCCTTATTAGCTAGAAGTAAAGTTCACAATGAAGGCTGCTGATGGGACAGTTCTTTAGTATGGAGGCTAAGAATAAAGATTTGGACCAGGCTTGTCTTACATATTTGGCTGACTAAGATGCATTTAAGTGTTAGTTCCTACACATACAGAATGGAGGTAGTTCTTTTGGATGTGAGTGTAATTTGGAAAAATAAAGATAACAGTTGAGAATTTCTCTTAGCCATCAAAATAGCAAGTCCAAGCGTTATCAAATATACTTCAAAGTATTTCATTCAATTTATCTATGAAAGTAATCAGTGAGCTACTGAAGTACCTGTGCTAAATGATTTGTTTGTTTATTTACAAGAAGAAAGCTGTACTCCTATGGTTTTGAATAGCAACGTAACTATTGAAGCCAGGGTACAATGGATGCTATCAGAAAAGCCCCATATGGGTGCACTTTAGATCTTTTGAATACCACAAAAGTTTAGTGACCTAGAAATGAATCAATAAAAAGCCATCCTCTATCTGACAAATTGAAGAACTGAGGGATTCTTACAGATGCATTGACTTTAACAATTCAAGATACACTGTTTGTAAAGGCTTTCTGAGAGACATTTAATCCTTAGAGTACTGTAGCAGACTATGAGGTGTTTTATATTTAGATCACTCTCCATAGTTAATTTCCTATTTTTACTGTAAGTTCACTGTTATGAAAATCAATGTAAGAAGACTAAAGGAAAGGCTAATGCTAAAATGATGTGTCCTTACACTGAACGTAAATGTTTTTAATTTGCTAAATTGAAAATTCCTTATTGTTCTGCAAAATATGGTTTGGAAGGGTATGGCAGTGTAAGAACCTCTCTAGTCCTGTTATATTACAAATAAGTCTATCACTCAACAAAGTGAATTATAATCTTGGATAGGTCAGAAAAAAGGTTTATATCCCTGTTCCCCATTGCTTCACTTCTATAGTTTTAACATTTCGGCATTTCAAATAAAATTTGAGTAAAAATTCTTCTTAACCACTACAGCCTTGTTTCCTCTTAATTTAGTTAAATAATCATCAACACACAGTATGATTTCTTATATTTATTCAGGGTTTATGGAGTTTCCGTGTTATGTTTGGCACAAAATTGAGCATGTTGTTTACTTTCTAAGGAATAATTAATATCAGAAATGATGATCCAGAAAGACTCTCTGTATAGTTGCATGCACATACACAAGCCATAAAATACTTGGACTAAATGAAATATTGGCTTATACTTCATTAAATGTCAGTTAAGTCCTGTGCATATGCAATACAACTCAGTGTTTCTGTGCCTCAAATGGTGAAGAAGGTGTACTTCAACCTGTAGATAAAAATTAAGAAATCAAGATTTTGGATTCACCAAGGATAACTTAAATGTTACAGCTGAGGATCCTTCCAGAGCACCCTACTAGAGTTCCTTTTTCTCTTTTGTTCAAAGGGAGGGAGGTCTAACAAAATTGGCTACCTCCACTGACATCTGCTGCAGTGATGTGATTATATGAGAGGCTTGGTGGCTTCTTTCAGGTAGTTCAGACAATTTAAGAAAAAAAAAAAAGTAGATATCATGCTGTCACTTTGACTTCTAGAGGGCTTTGGTTCTTAAATTGAGAGCTTCATAGATGGAGATTACCACATGGAAATCAATATACTGTTAATAATACATTACCAGTTATTGCAGTAAGCAACCAAAGAATAAATAACTAGAGAGAGCCAACATGTAGGGGACAGGAGCTGTATGTGTTCCTAGACTTCAGTTATAAGGGAGAATTACTCTGCATATGGGTTTTATTTATATCTTGTTGAAGCAGTTTAAGATCTAAGCAGGCTCCAAAGACTATATTTACAAAATAAGACTGTAATACTTCTTCAAAACTTTAGATAGTGTCAGTTGTACTTTTTGCTTCCGCACCTGTAGTGCTTCAGTTTTACCTGAATTGAGCCTTGTCTCCACCCAAGTCTTATACATGGATCTACATCCTTAGTCACAGCATAATGTATGGAGCTGAGTTACTCGGAAAACAGTTCTTCAGTAACACTATTAATGGCTTTTTAAGGATGCGAGAGTAAACATAAAATATTTAATTAAGAGCTCCAAACTTTCAAGGAAGTTGCAGTTTGTAATTCTGTAATGCTTTTGGAAATCAGTCCTGCTGAAATTTTAATAAGGAACCCAGCGCTGTCAACAGTAAGCCTTTGTCAGTACTGTACTTTTCACAATACTGATCTGTCCCTATTTTTCACTAAACTTATTTTTAAAAAAGATAAATGTGTTATTAGAAGTACATTAGAAGGCTAATATGGCCTAGTAAGCAGGTTAGCAGTATCAAAGGTAAATTATATTAATACAGTCTGAATTCTTAAATCATCAGACTCTACAATAAACTGGATGTATCAATGGCTAGTACTAGTAGCAACAGTGTTGTAGTTTCTGTATTCCCTTTGGCTTATTTGGATGTCCAGTTTTATGTAATTTCCTGTCTTAGCAACGGTGTTATGAAGCATTTTTCTCTATCTTGAAATGTTGCTTTAGAGTCACTTCGTTTCTTGGGTTTAATGAAAGGGAAACTTTTAAAGAAGTATCCTTAACAACAAAGTAGGTAATCTTGACACTATATCTTTAGGGATTATTCTGATGAAGAAAGAAGAAAGAAGTAAAAGAAATAAATTTTCCACATTTTAAGTGTATACCTTTTACCTTAAAAAAAAAAAAAGTATCCCATTAAAGAGAAATAGAAAAAGCAGGGAATAAATTCTGTTTTGCACAATATCTCATGGAGGATGGGCGATATCTCTGGGAGAACTGTTCCTTTTCCAGTGACTTTGAAAACTTGTGGTTTGAATTTCTTTCTCTTGTTAATCTAACCACTGAAGGTGTCAGTACTTGTGCATGATATTAGGAGTGTAGCAGTGCAACACCATTTTTCTGTGATTTGTTTCTTAAGTTTCCCCATTGCTATTAATATTCTTTCTCCTTTTTGGATATACATGTCCTTTCTTTCTTTCCTTCCTCCTACTTCGCTTCATTGGTTCTTTTTAACTCTTAAGGTCTAAAACATGCTATTCTGGTACATATCAAAGTTACAGTCTTTTTGCTTTCCTTCTTTAGTATTTTTTACAAATTAGATATGAATGACAACTTTCTGATTTTCAGCCTTTGTTATAGGTTTTGTGGTTTTTCTTTTAGTATTTTCATATGTGATTTATAATAATGAGGAAATTGTTTCCAAGTCACACAAAGAATGGATTAAGAGTCTTGTTGGTTCTATATAAAGAAAATATATCTCTCTATTTTTCTGCTACAGCATCCCTGTGTATTATCTTCCAGCAGCCAGATTAAGAGATGAAAAAGTGAAACCTTACAGTGTTGCATTTACTTTTCTTCCACACAAAATATTTCAGATATCTTTCTAAATAAATATCAGAAATATGTTCTTCCAAAGAGCATGATCTAAAATTTTACTGGACAATTAATCAGGTAGTTATATTGTTAGGAATTTTTTTTGCTAGCGTTAACATTGCTATTGTTTATATTTCCTAAAAGTAAAGAAAATCAGAGATGGTTCAAATTTCAATTGTTATTTACTCATTCACTTCCACCATAGTTTTGAGTTATGATAAGTTATAGTTGTATGAAGCTCATTAAGACTTTCTAATTCTGGTAATTTCTGATACTTTACTTGCAGTGAAGAAGCTGAAGGAAATACTAGCCTTTCTAAAGTCAGTGGGAGTTTGTATTTTTATTTTGGTAGGCTAGTATTCACAATGTCTGTTAACAAGTATTGTCTCACTTCTTAAACTATAAATTCATATGTCATTTGAATGTGTTCATGATTTTGCTCTGATTAGCTTTAAAAAACAGCATTGCAAATTGTCTATTTTTTCAGTATATCAATATATAGTTTGGAAAGAAATGCAGATGTAAGAATGTCTCTATAAGAAATGATACCTTTGTGTATATATATATTAAGCATGCCAAATATGACTACATTTGAAAAGCATCAATTAATAGATACTTTAAGCAAGTTGATTAATATTTTAATGATTAAGACTATAAATATTAACACAGTTCTCCTAAATGAACAAAGCCCCTTCGCATTAAACCATGATTTTGGTAATCAGTTGATATTTATGGGAAACCTTGTTAGGGAGATAGCACTATTGCTGTATCCCATCCATATCTTAGAATCAAATACATGATTGAGTGCTATTTCCCTGGCTTGAAAAATTAGGAATACAGTATTATCAAGCATTATTTTTAAAGCTTTGGAATCATATTTTACCTGTTATCTATGTTGTACATTATATACTCTAGGAGATAGACCAAAAGAGAGTTTTTATAGAGTTGTGAAAATACAGGTGGGTGATTTATCTAACAAAAAAGAAAAAATTGCAACCATTCTTGTTTTCACAGAGGAAGATAAGTACGGTCTTTACTCCAATTTGTTGTTCAAGTATTTTCTCGCAGAGGGAGTTGTCTGTGGACATGACTTGTTTGTTGCTTCTGCTAAAGAGCATCCTGACAACATTTTAAAGGTAAAGAAGACTCATAGCTTTTGACAAGTAAAGCTGTAATCTCTTGATGAATTTAAATAGATTTTAAAGTGTATATATTGTGTAGTAAGAAATTAATTAGTCTTGGTGATTCCTAAGAATGTGTTGGGAAGTGCAGGAGTATTTACACTGGCCAGGTTTGGGAATTAAATTTAGTTCACTCGCCTCCCTCTATGGACAATGGAGTAAGATCCTCCCAAGGCCAAATCAGGCTAGGAGTCTGGTTATCCTTTATTTTGATTATGGATGAAAACCAGACAGACTAGTTGGCTTAGTTGAATGGTTTGAGTAAACCCAACTGTTTACAGTTTCCACCTGCCTATCAGGAAGAGTAGTTAAGCTGCTTTGAATATATTGTGGTGGAAACTGTACAATTTGTGTAGATACTTATTGTAGTTTCCTATAGAAAAGAGAAATATCATTTAACATCTTTACAACTTCCTTTACATGTACGTTTCATTCTGACTGTCTTTTTTTGCTAGGAAACATGGTCGGCTTTGGATTAGGTCATATAGAAAGGTTCCTTTCAGACTTCAGTGAACTCCTAATCAAACACTAATAGTTTCCATTATAAGGAAATTATATAAGGGAAAAAGCCTGATCAACACTGCAAAAAATGCTGAAGTGTGAGGATAATCTTACAAAATTTCATTAAATATTTTATGTCTTTCTAAGGCTGCTTTTTTCTAATATCAAAAGTAACATATAATTTACTGATTACTTCTGCATCAAGTAAAGTCTGGCTATTTCCTTAAGAGTCTTCAGAGACTATTTCTGGACAAAATGATTACTTTTCTTTTTTCTCACCTAGTGATGGTAGATTCTATGCCTTATCTGTTCAATATTATCTTCAGTATTCAGGAAAAAATATATTCTTAATGAAATGATATGATTGTGGTTATGTTAAATCTGATAATTTTTTAATGAACTTAAAGAGGGTTCATTTAGGGGTGAAATTTTTATCATTTGTTCTTGTGATTTAGCATATAGCCTAAACAAATAGGTTAGAAATTGATTGTGAAGTATGAATTCCATAAGAACTTGCTATATTTTTAATAATATTTGGTTTTAAATAACTGATAATCAAGCCATTGACTCTCTGACCATACAATACATGATCATTGCAGTTATTTTTCTCATTATTCAAATGAATATTTTTATTGCATTGCATTAAAATTTCTTAAAATGGAGTAGCTAACATACATTTTATTCTTTCATTCACCTTTGAATCTATTGTTCAAAGCATGTCATATTTTTCCTAGCTCCTGTTCTTCAGGCTTTTGCATGTTAATCAACAGACATCGTTATGTACATCTATCCTTCTAGTACCAGTTTGAATTTGTGGTCAGTTAGTGACTTACTGAGTTCTGTTGTCTGATTTGGAGTAAGTTTTCCTTCTTACTTTTCAGGGGTAAACACTACATAATAATACTGCATTCCTCTGTTGTAACTCCATAGTGGTGTTACTATACAAGATTATAAATGGATGGACAATGTTATTACAGGGAAGTTGAGGAAAACATAATTTTGTCTTGTTTTCTTCCTCCATTTGTGTGTTTATATATCCAATAGTACTCTTGTCTATGCTTTTATACTCTTACCTTGAATATTCAACACTTCCTTTGCTTAACAGACAAGGCACAGTAGAGTTGATTTCTCTGATTTGTATTGCTGTCTTGAAATTGGTTCAGTGAAGTAACCCTGTAATATGCTAGGTGTCGATCTAGAAAATTATGTACTTTCACACTTGGAAAGCTTTGGCACTTCTTAAAATTCCAGCGTGCGTTACCTAAAAAACATTATTGCCTCACCTGGAAAAAGTCGATCTAAGACTGGCATTGGCCACAGTTGGGTCTCCATATTACAGAAGTAAAGGAGTTTTCCCTACGATTGCCTCACTTGACTTCTAAAAGAGAGGACCTTCAGGTGCTTCAAGAAGTCCTCTCCTGTCATAAAAATGAGCTGTTTGGGATTTGGATGTCTCCACCAAGTCAAGATTTTAATATAGCATATCTGACCGTTGAATAACATTGCTTTTTATTTAATGAGATTAGTAATTAATTTATTTTCAGTATCTGATTGGACTGTATTCTTTACTGGAAGGGCAACATAGATATGGTACATATCAACTTGAATTATACATTTCATGCTTGGTTTTTATTTTATAAAATTCAAGTACAGATTCAATATATTCTATAGCTAGTATTCTAAATAACTCGTGTTTTACATAAAGGCAGCTCATTAACTGCCCTATGTCCATATTGTGTGGTCAGTCTATTTATACATTCAGTTCTCTGCTGAGATGCCATAATTGCCCTATTCTAATTTTATGATGTGATTGGAAGTTTTTTGAACCTATAACCAAGACAAATATTGCTGGTAGTAGGAAGGGGAAAAGACATTCTTATAGACCATAATTATCTTGAAATTGTGTATAGCTAAGAGACAAGGAGAGGATAAAAAGCCCTGATCAGCTGCCTAAGATATATTATATTACCACCCACCAATTTATCCATCATCCTTTGAAAACATATTCATGCCTTTTGTAGTCAAAGCTCCTTCAGGAAATTGGCATTAAGACATAATGCTGAAAAATTATACATCTCTGGTAAAACCTACAGAACTATATACATGCTGGTTTTTAGAAAGTATTTTAAACATTTAAGAGCATTTCTGTTCAATCTATATTCTTCAACAAAAGGCAACTTTTTACTACAAAGGCATAAATACTGGGAAGGGAATAGTATATAATGTAAGAAATAGTATGGTATACTTTGTGATCGATCATAAAATAAAACTGCACTGGCAAATAGAAAACTAAATCAATATTAAAATGACTGAAGGAAACATTATATCTTAACATTTCATTTTCAGTACGATACTTTATTAAGTTTAGACTACAAATTATGAAAGGCAGTTATGTGCTCAAACTTAAAAACAAAGAGAAACTAATAAAGTAGATGGGTTTTTTCTTGTATCTGTTTCCTTCACTGTGTTTAGTGGCTGTATTTTTTTATATAATTCAGCACTCTGAAGTTAATGCCAGCTGTTTTGAAGTTGCATATAGTGTATGTGTTTGAGAACGGATCATATAAATTTGAGTATATGGTTATATTTATTACAGTGGAAATCTTTAACTTAAACACTGTTATGCTTTTTTGCAAGAAACAGCAAGCAAGGGGGTTGAATATTTCCTTGAACATCACTGTAGCCAAAATTAGAACAGGTTTGCATCCATTCCAAGTTAGGATACCAAACTGACTTCTCGAAGCCATAAAAATAAGTAACTATATAACAGCTTAGTTGTTTATGCCCATTCTCCTTGTTAGTGCCAAGGTATGGTTCCAGTCTTTCAAAAAAAAAAAATCTGTATCTATGGTGGCTACATTTCTATATTTCTCACTTTTCCTACTTCAATTTGGCACTAAAATTCTAGAACTGCCTAAACTGCCTATATAAGAGTTTCTTTGTCTTTTTTTCCTAATTAGTTTATCTAGACCTTGGGGGTGAGCTGATTTTCACAACTTTTAGTGAGGAAAAAATTGGATTATATTTGCAAGTTACAAGTTCATCTTGACAATGAAGAGTGCTTTCTGTTAAGTTGCTTTTACTGTAGAGCCTGTGCAAAGTTTGTCTCAAGAGGAAGACTCACTGGTCATTATACGTGCTGGGAAACAGAAACCAGCATCCCCTGAAGCCCAGCAATTTCCCTGTGGGACCCCGGCCAATGTTACCTCAATGACCATTCCATTGGGAACTTGGAACCCCGAGGTGGAAGAGTGGAAGGTCCAGAACTGCTTTCTAGAGCTGCATCTGTTCATCTCCTGTGGAAAAGTTGAATGCTTTGTGCAATTACTGCATTTTTATGGAATCTCTTTTCAAGCTGGAATCTTATTACAAGATACTTATGGACTCTGTTGAGATTGCCTTTTGGAGGTTCTCTTACAAGAAGAGAGGATAAAGAGCACATCCTTCAAAGAAAAAAAACCATACTTTGACATAATCTGAGCCTGCTGCTTATGGTCAAGGTGCTTTTCCTACCTATGCTATAGAGGATAGCCTTCTTAGAGGGAAAGACATTCTCCAGAATTCTACCCCCAGTCAAGTCCTTCGAGGCTTACCGTACTAAGGCACAAAGCAGTATTTACCTTGTATATCTGGTGTCATTGTACTTCCAAGTTTGAAAATGAACAATGTGCAAACAGTTTGCTCTCTGGAGAACTACGCAGAAGATTCTCTTGAGTAATAAAGCCCTTAGTGTGCCCATGTATCAGATACACAGCTTCATTGTGTTTGCTGGACATATCCTGAAGCCAAGTCAGTCAGGAGAAACCACAGTAGTAGTGTAGGGTACCACAGTGAAAGGGAAAAATGCAGCATTGCTTGGTGAGGAAGCTGGGAGGTGCATGTAGAGAAGTATAATGGTTTATTAAAAAACCAATAGGGACAAGATCAAAAAAGCCTCCAGGAACAAGTTTTTAAAATTTCCTACCAAGCTCAAAAGATCTCTAAAAAAAAAAAGTGAAAGTATATTTTAAATATGGCATTTCGCTTAAGTATGTCATTTGGAAAAGACTGAAAAAATTCCACCTCCAGCAAACTGGTTATACTGAGTAAACCTGAAGAATAGAATGTGGACACTTAACTCTTTTCCCACTGAAAAGATGAATGCAGAAAGAATCCAGCAAAATGTACTTTTGTTATTTCAAGGGTTATTTAAAAAACAACAGCAATAAACAACCCATTGAGCTTCAGTGTTGTATTACTGTGTTTGCAAACAACCTCTTGAAAGAAAGCATAGCTGTCTACATGGACTTTTTTATTCCAGCAAAGTACATTCAACCATGATGCTTACATTTTCCCCTCACAGATATGACTCTAAAACATGGTTGTGTCAAAAGGAAGAGTGCAAACCTAGAAGAAATTATCAGGCTGGTGACAAGGGCTTTCCAAGCTTCCATTTTCAAAGAGCTCTCTTCTAA